ATGCAGCGCGTTCCGGGCTATCTCGCTATATATAGTAGGTTAATAAATAAAAGAAGTATAGTGATAAAAACAAAAAAGATACTAAGGGGGGAAACCAATTGAGCTGCGCTGTAGTGCCATTATGTCCTTGAGATAGTTTATGGCAACAGGGACAATAATTGGAACATTTCACACTCGCATTTAACTAATGTTTCTATTGCTCAATTGTTTCATCGCATATGTGCATTAGATTGGTTTTTCTTTGAACAATATCATGCTCTTGCAGTCCTAGCTACACGCCGGATGAGCTATTTTTATCACTCAATGAGAGTCCATCCGGTGCATTGTGAATATTTCACACTGTGTCTGATTTTACACCCAAAAAGATACATTTCCCCTAAAAATCAATGGAACTTCCGTGTAACAATATTCTAGGTACAACCGTGTGGCCACTGAATGGCTACGGCGGTGTGTTCAATGAGACGATATATCCTACTGGTCTGTTTTTCAATTCAACTGGAAATCAACTCTACATCTTGGACGCGTGGCACTTCCGAGTCTTGAAATGGACCATTGGTACCAGTACAGCGATCGTTGTCGCCGGTGGAAACGGTCCGGGCTCTGCACTCAACCAGATTTATCAACCATTGGGCGGTTTGACAGTGGATACCCTATCGAACATATACATATCGGATAATGGCAACTATCGAATTCAGAAATGGTCGCCAGGCGCTGTGAGTGGGCAAGTTGTAGCAGGCGGGAACGGACAGGGTAGTGGAGCTAATCAGCTATCCTTCCCATACAACATCGTAGTAGACTCACAATTTAATCTTTTTGTGGCTGATAGGAGCAATCATCGGATTCAGGTATGTTGAAATTATGTGTCAATGACTTTTTACGTTGTGATATCCGCAAGCCCAAATCAGAAAGACCGAAGGCAGAGCAGTAGTAAATAGATAACGAAACATTGAGTATATAGCTGCTATGAAGATATTTTTTGTTCAATATGCAATTAATAATTTGAGTTTATATGTGAGCTTTGGCTCTCATTTCTGGCCTACTTCTTCATCATGTTATATTTGTTATTTCGGCCGATGCTACCAAAAGTAAAGGTACCCAGCGCTCACATCTAAACTAAAAACCGCTCCAATCATTTATGAACACATAGATCAGAATAATAATTAGTTCTAGTTTCTGGCACTATCCTTTACTGAAAATGAATAATTTCATTAAAAAATGCGTTTTCAGATGTGGCCACCCGGTTCTTCAAGCGGCATCACGATCGCGTCGAGCGTGAGCTGGATTTATCCGATGGCGCTGGCATTAGATTCTGCCGGCTACATTTATGTCGGCGATGCTTGGCGTATTTTCAAGTGGAGCCCAACAACGCAGACTGTCACGACCATTGTTTCCGACCATGGAAATTCATCCAATCAGCTCTCGATAGTAAACGCACTTGCATTGACCCCCGACAATGTCAATCTGTTCGCTGTAGATCAAGCAAATTTTCGAGTACAAAAATACTCGTTAACAAACAGCTGCATAAGTAAGTTTTCCGCGACACTGCTCAGAGGTTTGCTCTGTCTTGCACGATTCAATTGTATAAAAAATTTGTCACTTATTCACTCTTGCAACCATCATACAGCTCATGTTCGGTTTAGAAAAGCGAAGAAATTCTGCAATAACATGAAAACTGCATTATGATCTATGACATTTAAAAATCGAAAGGGTATTATTTCTATGAATAACTCGCCAAGAAAATTAGCAGGCGATCAGCTGTTTTTAACAAAGGAAAACAAAATTGTGAACTTAGATTAATACAACATGCAGCTGATCAGAGAATGATCAAGCTGATTCATTTTAACTGTGCCTATTCTGCTTTTTTGTAGCCGTTTCATCATCAATCACGAGCCCAACTACGACTGTCAGTAGTTCTGGTGAGTAGTAATTACTGTCTAGCTTCTATTAAAAATTGTGGGGCTTTTCAGTTCCCATCAATTCCCAAACCCCTACCACTACATCGAGTAAGTTCGGTATCTTTCTTCATTTTCAACCAATTCTTTTGTCATTTCGCTAATCGTTTCTAGTCACACCTAGTAGCAGCAGCACAACCAATGCAGGTAAGACTCGTACTTCAGTACTTTCTTATCACTTCATATTCTCATCTTCCAGGTGTTTCCTCGACCAGTAGACCAATGACGAATGGTAATGAGCTTGCTTGTTTCTCTCACTCTCTCATTCGTGTCATCATTGAAAGTCCAGAGAAGTGAGTCCTATTGAAGGGGATTCCAACTCCCTCACCATTTTTAGGATTTCTGAAGATTGATTGAACAGTAAATTCTGAACCGTTGATCCCAATAAACAGCAATTGACATTAGGTTGAATGATTTCCAGCTGTTTCACGTGAGTGATACTGGTATATTCACGTTTTATGCTGTCTGACGCAATTAGGGAATGTGTTCCTAATAGCACCAGTCGACTACTCTCTTTTCAGACCAGTGATTACTCGCTTATTTTGGAAGGTAGTTATCTGATAATTAAACCACGCGTCACTACTTGATACAGCATAGCCGAAAATACCTTTCTCAATCTATGTATGTCGGAGTGATCGAAGATCATTGTGACCGTTTTTTTGGCTCTCAGCAAAATGCTCATAAGCTCTGAATGGAACAATCAATGAGCACAGACCTCACGTATATCGGGAGTGTCAATTTTCTCTATAAAGTGTCATATACGGATTATAAATGGATTTTTTAAGACTAACAGAACGTCGTTTGCAAGATGTTTTTGAGAATTGCCTAAAGACTGACGGTTGCTTGATCAATGACACTCGGAATCCTCTTTTAAATAGTGTGAATAACACGGCAGAAAAAGCACGAGTTTCTGGACTCTCAAGGTCATTTGGAAATGAGAGCACTTTCTAAAGCGACGAAGTTGACTTTTCTCCTTGGTAAATTGCAAGTCCTATTATGGAAAGGGGGTGGGTGTGGGTGAGAATAGTGGCTACATGGAATCAACTTCACCCTAGCTTGCGCGTGGATCCAAAGATAACTAGACAGCCTGCTCTGTCACTGCCAGATAGTGGAGTTCATCGAGATAGCAGAGATTACAAGTTGGCAAAGTGCATTAGTGTTAGTGTTCAAGATAGTAATAACGTACAAAATTACTAGGATAAGGTAGAGAGGGGTCCACAACCTAGCACATGTAGTTTAGACGCGGTATCGATTAAGACCGAATGATTCCTTTTATGTGTCATCATGCGTGCATTTTATGGATGATCCATATTGGTTACGGAAATTCTCATAATTCAAATTTGTTGGTAAAATTCTATGATAATAATTAAGCCCCACAGTTTTCTCAGATTGCATAGTTGTTCGAACTTTCTACTGTTGCATGAGTATCACGCTTTATACAATCTTCATGGTTTACAATAAGATGCATATAAGTCCACATGTGTTTGTCGCTCTTGGAAGGTTTATACTGTAATCTATAACGGAAACTGTTGCGTGGAAGGTTCATGTAAAGGCCTCACATGTAAGCCAGGTGATTACGACATTTGCGTGTTCCTTTCTAGGATGGTCAACTACGGGCAACATGAAGAGTGCGCGAGTCTTGCCCACAGCATCCACATTGAAAAATGGAATGGTCTTAGTTGCTGGTGGATACAATCAGAATAGTGGTTTTTTGAGTAG